ATTTGTAGAAATACCTATATCATTCTTCAATTCCTTGCCAAATATAAGCTTATTGTTTGAAATAAATAAAAACAGCAATCAGAACCATATTAAACAGAACATAACTTTTAAAGTTAATAAATTTGGGGTGTTTCTTTCCCTACGGGGGTAAATATTTAGAGACCAAGGACTAACACAGAAAATATTCCAGTCATCTCTCCTATAATACAATCAGGGTGCCACTAACAAGAGTGCTCTGGTTAATCTTAATTGTCATGATGGTATGAGGAGATAGGATATATATATGGTATTCAAACCTCATGGGGTATATTATTAGGAACCATTATTAAGTAAGAGGATAAAGTGAAACTGGAATGAAAGTAGTCAGGCATCTGGTCTCAGGATTTCCTGTTGTTAGTGCTATTTCATGTTTTACATTAAAAATGCAACATTCTTATCTTTCCCTCTAATATTTTTGTGCTCTAGCTTATATGCACATATGTGTGCACAGGCACGCACACGCATATCCACAGACCTGTATTTGATGACCAAAAAGGAAGAGCCCCCGAGGGCTCTTTAGTGTGTAATTAATATTTTGGTCAGAAAATCAGCAGATTGTTTCAGTATGGCTATGTGTTATGACATCATATTCCAGTAAAATTATAATGAACAGAAATTTTGTTTGTCTCTGTGGCAAACCAAAATGAGTTTTGTAATTGTCAACAGGCCTCGGCGATTATAGTGGCGCCCACTCCCTCCACTGTAGTTAAGGGCCTGTTCACATTCCATTGTGCACCTCTGTTTTCAGAAGTTTATAATTAATTGTAAACATTTGCTCTATGGCGAAGCCTGGCCATGGAAGACCTATAGCCAGGAGTACATCTCTGCTTTCACGTTTGAAAGTTTGACAGTGGAGCTGGTTCAAAATACGCAGAAAAGTCCATGGAGGTGAGCAAGTGTAGTTTTTGTGGAATATAGAATGAGGGCAATCTATAGTATTGATATCACTCTGTCATAATTTCTGCCTTACAGGACTCGTAGAAAATAAAAAGTGTACACTTCACTATGCGTTTAAGTCATTGTAATCACAGAGCAAAAACAATGAACAGTTTTTAAGAAGTTGATATCGTTAAAATTAAAAAAAATTTTTTTTCTTCCTTTTTGTATTTTCTACCTGGAAAATGAGAATGTGTGACTTAACATAATAAAAATTCATTTAAAACTCTTTATCTGCAGTTATGATGGATGTAGAATCTCTCCCCCCCACCCCAGCCCCGGGGTGGTTGTAGCGAATAACAGAAATGTGGGTGAAGGGATACAGCAGATGGTGTAAGACATGAAATAATAGTAATATACTGTATATTTTATTAAGGGTTCACGAGGGTGGGAGGGAAAAAAGAGACGCTATTATCAAAGGGCTCAAGTAGAAAGATAGTGTTATAAAAATGATGATGGTAACTTAATGTACAGGTTTGCTTGATATAATTGATTTATGAATTGTTATAATATCTGTAAGAACTCCCAATAAAATGGTTTTTAAAAATATATATATCCATCTAAAAACAAATGGAAAAGAAACTCATAGCCAGGAAAATTGAGTTTGGGTGGAGAATGAAAAGCAGTGACTGTCCTCTTGCCATACGCTTCCTGCCGCACTACATTTGCCCCTGCTGATTAGCCCCTGCCTGCACTGTCGTTTCTTTCCCAGCCCTGAAGCCTCTTTCATCTGCTTCACTGCTGTCTATTATTTCCCCTGCCCTTTGATCATGGGCATCAATCACATTCCAGGCTTTGGCCCTCTCTTTTTGGGTCCCTGTACATTTACCCTTTCCAGGTGCTTATCCACTCACATGGCTTTAATTACTGCCTCCCAAATCTACATCTTCACTCCCACTGGGCATCTCTAGTCCTTCACCTCCAGTAAACCCCACTGATTAGTCCCATCTGCTTGGTGAATTCTCATTTGATGGCCTCTGTCCAGTTTTTCTCAGGTTGAATATGCAACACTTTCTTTACTTGGATGTCCAGCAATCCTCTAAAGTTCGGTAGGACATTCTTTTTGCTTGGAAATGGACAACTGCCAGCACTGGAGTGACTTTCGAACTTCTTATTTCAACGTTATATACATTAAAATCCACCATTTCATCAAACTGGCCCTAGTCGTTTTACTTCTATACATGAGAAGACTGGAAATGAATAAGGAAGACCTGGGAAGAATTGATTCACTTGAGTTAAAATGTTGGTGAAGAATACCATGCATTGTCAGAAGAACAAAAAATCTGTTTTCAAAAGTAGAGAGCCTGAGTGCTCCTTAGAAGTGAGGATGGTGAGACTTTGCCTTATGTTCCTGGAGAAGGACATTGTATGTGATATACATTTGAGGGTGAGAGAAAAAAAGGCAGGCAGGCAAGGAAATGGGATTAGCACAGTGGCTGTGACAATAAGCTCAAACAATTGTGAGGATATAAGGATGGCACAGGAATGGGTAGTGTTATGTTCTGTTGTATATGGTGTTGCTATGAGTTAGAACCAAGACTAGAACAATTTTTCTAACTTGCTAAATCCCGTGGTCATTTCTTAGTCATCGTTTTACTAGACTACGAGCAACATTAGACACAAATTTGATTCATCTCTCTTTCATGATATACCTTTTTTTTTCTTCCCATTTTGCTTTCAGGAAAGATATCCTTCTTTCACCCTTTACAAAGCTCTCCTGTCTTTAAGTACCATCTGTAGGGAGCCTTGATGGTTGTAGTGATTACTCATTTGGCTGTGATCTGCAAGGTTAGCAGTTCGAAACCACTCGTTGCTCCTTGGAGAAAGCCGGGGCTTTCAACTTTCAAATATATTTGTATATGACGATGGGGAAATCTATGTGCATATATTTATAGGCTTAGTATCAAGGTAGTAGATAGACGTTGGGCCTCTGCTCAAGTACTCCCTCAATGCAAGAACATTTTGTTCTATGAAACTGGCATTCCATGATGCTCACCTTCCCAACACGATTGCTGAAGACAAAGCGGTTGCATAAGCAAATGTGGTGAAGAAAGCTGATGATGCCCAGCTATCAAAAGATATAGCA